CATAGCTATTCCAGGCACCCCACCTAGTCTTTCCCTTGTGGCTAGGGGTCTGCTTCTTTCGTCTCTTGGTTGATACCCATCTGAGATGACGGGGTGTGGCAAAGACAATTAATTTTCTCAGGTTTCCATTCATCTGCCTCTACCCATCTCCAGAGCATTCTGCTCACTCTTCCCTTTGCTTCCCCTTCACTCAATTTCTCTATGGTTTCCTTCACTTTATATCGTTGAATTTATGAAATCTTGTGAGGTTAAGAATTATTCGCTCACAGTTTGTACAGAGTCAAGAGACCCACAGACTGTGGGAAATTCATGCAACAGCTAAAGATAACTTGTCCCAAGCACTCAGTCATTGCTTAAGCGAGTGAGTTTATCAACAACAACCTTTTGGGAGTTTAGTTTCCAGTTTTGTGGCTTGTGTAGTCAAGCCCACAGAGGGTGAATGTGGGTTGGATGACTGCTAAGGGATGGGGAAGATGCCAATTAACTCATTCAAGGGCTGATGACAGAACTCTGGGATTCAGTCAAAGTTGTGGTTTCTCTTTTTCCCACTGTAGCCGACATGGCCATTGAACCATCTCAACAATTTCCAACATTTGGGACTTAAACAATCTGTCTTTGTATTTACCTACTTTTTAAAATCCTCATCTGAGGATATGTTTGATTTTTAGAGAGGGAAGAAGGGGAGTGGGGGGGGGGGGAGAGAGAGAGAGAGAGAGAGAGAGAAACACCGGGCAGTTGCCTCTTGTGTGCACCCCAACTGGGGATTGAACCCGCAACCCAGGTATATGCCCTGATGGAGAATTGAACCCACAACCTTCCTGGTGTATGGGATGATGCTCTAGTCAAATGAGCTACTTGGCTGGGGCATGTATTTTCCCCATTTTTTAAATACCCGATTGCTTACGAAAACAGGTGTCCTGTAAAGGTTGATGTCATTAAAAAGTTGAAATTACTTATTTGATCTGAATTTAGGGTCCAAATCCAAAGGACTGGGGGAACAGAAAATTGCCTAAGTGATTGAAATAATAAATTTAAACTGACCTCAGTTGGAAAAATCTGAGAATTTCACAACTTTTTACAGGAGTTAATATGCAAAAGCAAAGACTGTATTTGTCTAATCAATGCCTCATCTGCCCTCTCTGTTTTCCATGCTATTCATCTTCATATAATACGGTGGCAGTCACTCTGCTTCATAGAAATTCTATAACAGGAATTCAATCTAATGCATTCCATTCAACTACCTTCCATCTTCACAGTGTATAAAGAAAGAAAGAAGATAAAGAACAGCAAAAGATAAGAGGGCCGGACAGCTTCTCTGGTATCAACGACTGTATGACATTTACTGGTGGAGAAAGTCTGGGAAGTTGTTGACTTGCTTTGTGCATACCACACTGTGTAGTATCGGCGAAATTTCACTCATAATTGTTAAATACTCCAATATAGTTCATAGAGATTATTTGAAATACAGACCCTCCAACAACAATAAAGTTTGAAGTAATTTCTTAAACTTATTTTTTCAATTTACTAAACAACTGAAGAGGTGGTTAGAGGATTGACTAAGGATTCAGAACCCTTGAGAACAGAGAGACCAACCTCTTTCATCTTTGCCTGTGTCCCTTCCCACCACCCTGGAGAATCCCCATCATACAGGTTAACATCTGGCAAGAGAGGTATACACAAAAGATTACTGTATTGGCAAAAGAACTCATCAAAAAGTTCGAAAACTGGAGTTCTGTTCTGTACCCAGATTGGAAAAGGTAATTTCCCCCCAACGTCAATGCCTCCTACCCTGCAATGTGGACTAGCAGACTTAGCTAGATCATCAGCTCTGACCAGGGAGTGAGGAAGGTATAGACAGCTGGGCCACAGTTCCTGCCTCTTCCTACTCCAGCTACTGGCTTCCTGGAATTATCCATGGGGCTGTGTGGAGTTCTGCCTGTGAGAAACATTTCTCTCTCTGGGACGATACACCACCAACTTACTCAGGGGTGGGGAATCGGGCTCGATACATTTTACACAGAGCTTATTCATACAGTAACATGAGAATTCATTTGGAATCGGAATCCACAGTACATTTGTGATTTTTGCTTAGAGTCCAAAAGTTCTCAGTAACATACAGTTTCTGATGTTGGCTGTCACCATGGCGAGGAACAAATGAACTCTACCCCATGCCCATATAAGGCTGAGCTGGCCAAGTGCTTGGGGAGTGGCGACTTCTGCAGTCAGGCATTGTCATCGCTGCTGCAGTAGCACCACGGGGAAAATATATAGCAAGGGACCCCAGGGGAAGCTGTGGGAAAGAACAAAGTCTGCACACAGCTCCCTGCATAGCAAAATCCGTCCAACTGCTATTTCTATGTATTACGTTACTCAGAAAAAATACTATCAAGCTGCAAGTAGGTCAGAAATAGTACTGCTTTCTATAGGAACACATTTAGGTGAATTTGCTAATCAACAAATATTTAATACACACATGCAAGGTCTGTAGAACTGAAATAGACACTTAATAAATGATTTAATGAAGTATATGCAATTTTCCTAACACTAAATATCTTCAGTAATGTACTAGGCTTACCCCATAGAAAATGATAAATGGCATCATTTACCTCTCCCCAGTAGGTGTTTTTCTTACTTTTACTATGAGTCATTTCCACTATCTTATTAATATTCAATGGCACAAGTGAATCTATTGGGCAGCCTTGGGTACTGGCTGTTACAACAGGCCAACCTGGATCTGTAGGGTCCAATCGCAGTGCAAATCTAAGTCCGGCACCAATGACGATGCGAACCATTATGCAGTGTGAAGAGAAGAGGCATCTGAACACTAGGCAGGGCAGCCTGCAGCCCAGGCCCCAAAGTGAGGATCACTTGGCTCTGTCTTCAAAACGCTACTCGGACAACTGCCGAATCTCAACTTCATTCGATCTGTATTAATAACCTGTCTGAAGATAGGAATGTCAACCCCACACCGGGTTCTGAATTACTCACGCTAATCAATTTAACCAGAAGTTGCCAAGTTTTTACGTAACTTGGAAATGGATAGAAACGGACTCAAGGTATTTTCTTAATTAGGGATGATGGGAAATAAAAAGGTTTAAATGCCTGTACTAGACACTCACTACATTGGAAAGACCTAGGGACCCTTAGAAATCTTCCTTTTAATAACCTCTTTGAAAAGACCTTTGGCATTTTATAAGAGTATATTGCTGTGCAAGTGGTTTTATCTATTGAAATAATGAGAGTAAGCTAGCTTTAGTGAAGAACAAAGTTCTTGTAAAAGCATCATGGGAAATGTTAATATATTGGTTCTGTATTAAATAAATAATTGTACAAAGTGAAAAGAGTAGACCCAGTAAACTTTTCAGTTTGTTTGGGTTCTGTTTGGCTGATCACATGGAGAAGAATGTAGAATCCCTCTAGAGTCTAACAGACTCCCACACAGACGAGTTGCACAGATATTTGTATACCACTAATTTATCTTCCCTGTGCCCATATAAGGCTGAGCCAGCTAAGTTCTGCAGTCAGACACTTTCATCACTGCTCCAGAGCATTGCTGGGAAAATCTATAGCAAGGGACCTCAGGGGCATTTAAAATCTCATGAAATGGCTTTTATATATTTAAAAAAATACTTATCCTTGTTAAATACTGATAAAGGTCTTGGACTAGAAATTCCTGAAGTATAAAGTCCCCGCTCCAAACAGAGGAACCCATTAATAAAACAACAGCAACAGACTATTCTGAGGATTGCAACTTGCGAGGAGCACAGCTCACGGAGATGGGAGCTTGGACCTAGAGGAAGAAGCTCCTCAGCTGTGACCTGTGCCATTCAAAAATGATTAGTCATGCGTTAGTCAATGCAACCACCACGTTCACTAAGGCGTTCCCTATTACAACTTATTTGATTTTTGGAGGGGACTCAGGTAGGAGGGGATGTATGAGAACACCCGGTGGCAGGGCCCAAGCTCCAACAAGGTGGTCCTTCGTCCTGGATGAGGAATGGCTGGCTACTTTAGAAACTGATCAGGATTCCTGTTGGTGAAACTCAGTGGGAACATCTAAGGTCTGCAATAATTTGTTTCCAATGACAGGGCAAAGCCGGCAAGAATTCCCTACTGTCTCTCACAACCTGGCATTGGATAAGCATGGGTCCTAGATGAAAATGGATGATTCCAAGGCAGAAAGACTCTGTCATAAAACAAAATACTGCTGCCCACACCGCCACACACCGACATGGGTTTAAATGTATAAATATAAACAGTATCTTTTAAAAATAGGTAATGCCAAGATTCAAACATCCGCTTTAAAGAAAATGGAAGAAAAAGCCAATCACTTTGCTTGAACATACTAAAACCAATATCAGTTCAAATTCTAACAGGTGTTATAATTCAAGGTGACCTTTTCCTCTTACTTATCTATGAACTAGGCTATATAAAGAACATTTAGAAAATGAGTAGAATAATTTAAAAAGTTAGAATGATTCTCAGCGGTATGAGGCTGGTGCCCTCTAGTTTTGATATCTCTATTGCAGTATAAATGTAACTACATTTTCTCTATGTAATATTTTTATAAAATATAGATTTATGTATAAAATAATAACTATAAAACATAGTTGCATCACATATATATGCATATACATACATATTCATAACAATGAAAAGAGAAGAGATGCCTAAGAAAGTTAGTATTATTCTCAATGTATTAAGAAAGTAGTATACATTGATCCAATTTTGCATTTTATTATTTATTGTTCCAGTGGAGAAAAACACATCTGTATTACATTTCTCAGGAAAAGATGCAATTGACTGAATCAGACAATTTAAGGTGCTTTCCTTTGTAATGGGGGTAGAAGGAGGGAACATTCACTGCGAGGCAGTGACTTACCCGCCCTCCTTCCTCAGGGGGTAGAAGGAAGGAACATTCACTGCGAGGCAGTGACTTACCCGCCCTCCTTTCTCAGGGGGTAGAAGGAAGGAACATTCACTGTGAGGCAGTGACTTACCCGCCCTCCTTTCTCAGGGTAGCACTGACAGCCGCCACTGCAGTCTCTCCCGCCACAGGGCACATCAAACTTCTTCACACCCTGCCAAAATCAAACACAAAGCAAAGAGAAAGTTAGGTCAAATACTCAACTACAACACGTATCATAATGCTATCTGTTGAGAGTGCTTCTGAACCTAACAGCTACTTATTCTTTCAAAACAAATAGACTTTAATTTTTAGAGCAGTTTCAGGTTCATGGCAAAAAGGACGGATATTTCCCATACAACCTCTGTCCCCGTATGCACAGTTTCCCCCCTTGTCAACATTCCCCACCAGAGTGGACACCTGATAAAATCCATGAACCTACAATAGCATGTCATTATCATCCAAAGTCACAGTTTACATTAGGGTCACACTTGGTTGGTGTTGTTATCCCATGGTCAATAAGCCCCTTTTCAGTGCCTACTAAGAGCCAGGTGCCAAGCTAGATTCTGGGCTGGAAAGTGAAGGAGAACATTCCCTGAATCCAGGGATCCCATGTGAAGTAAACACATAAGGACACTGTGTTAAGAGCTTTAGCTTGCAGGAGAAACTCCAGGCCCACGGAAAGTGCCCTACATGCTGCCTGGCGATGTGGGGGATGTGCCCTGGAGGAGGAAAGGTTCCAGGTTAAGTTAAATACTGCAGGGCATCTCTGGGCCTCTAGCTCACAACACAGAGCCCAGTCGATCAAAGGGAGGGGGTTCTGACGAGGAGGCAGAACTTGCAAATATACCTGCTAGGATGGCAAACTCTCCCCACCTCCATCACAGAGGTCCCATGACATCCACGGTGATCCCGCAGAGGACCGCCCGTCTCCTTCCCTCCCTGCTGTAAGCAAGGCTCAGGTACAGTAAGGAGCAGGGGGAGGGTGGGAAATACTTAGGTTGGGGTGGCATAATAGAACTCTTCATCATAGACTGAGCTATAACTCTTCAATGAGTTCAGTGGATAACTTGAAGGACAATTCCAACCAGAATTAGGGGGCAAAGGTGTTTCTTGCCCTTGATCTAGGGTGTTTAGGTAAAATGTGGACTTGGAGATTGGACTATGTTTGAGCTCTTCCTTTTAGACTGTGTTCACAGCCATAAACATTTTTTTTTTGTCCTCACCAGAGGACATTTTTCCATTTTTTGTTCAGGTAGAGTGGGAGGGAGAGAGAGGAACAGAGAGAGAGAGAGAAACATCGACGTGAAAGGGACACATCGAGTGGCTGCCACCCGCACAACCGACCAGGGCCGGGGACAAACTGCAACCGAGGTACGCGCCCCTAGCGGGAACTGAACCCGGGTCTCTCAGGACCGCAGGCCGACGCTCTAACCGCTGAGCCAAACCGGCCAGGGCAGCCATAAACATTTTGAGCGGGAAATAGCAATCAGGTTGACCCTCTTCTCTCTCCTCTCTGATCAGCGAAGCCCTGCCTCCCCCTCCTCACCCAGGCCCGTGAGTTAGGACAGCTGTTCACAGGAGACTCTGTCCGGCTTCTCACCATTCGCACCCTTGTCTAGACTGCCCGTCAGCAGGCACTTCTACTCAAAGGACCCTGGGCACAGTTAGCTTCTGGTGTGCACTGAGCCAAACCTTCCCATAAAAGCAACACTCCCCAGACAACAGAAACCACTCAAACTTTAAACATAATTATTTCACCACAGCTTTTCCATTCTCTTTTGAGATAAGTTTCCATGACTAAACAGGATGGCCATGTGGGAACTCCTCTACAAGCCTTTCTGCCTGTTTTTCATGCCAACGTCTCCCGCGCTCCTCGCACGACCCCGCACGTTCGCGTGGAAAGGTGGGCGTTTTACCTGGCCGCCTCTGTAACTGCCCTGGCGTCGCCTTCCTGAAGCTACACTCGGGTGGGCACACGAGTGAGCTCGGACTCTAAACCTTCTGGCCAGAGTTTACCTTAGACCTCCACAACCGCTCAAGGTTTTCCTTGTAGAGAGATCTCATTCGAAAGTTTCACATTTGGGAGTGTGTGTTTTTAATCACAATTCTTTACCTGATCTAATATCAGTCACTACCTTAAAGGATTTTTAAAAATGGGAAAATCTCAAATCCTGCGAAGAAACCGAAACCTGGAAAGACTTTCAAATCTCCTTTCGGTTCTCTTTGGTGCTGAGGGAGGTAATAAAACAGAGTGAGTTTCACAGTGTAAGAGTAAACATACGCAGAATCCTTTCATGCCCTCAAAATATGATTCTAGGCATTTGCCAGTTTTTTTTTATGGCTTTAATGTTTATCTGCAGGGGGGCTCATTTTTAAATTTCATGATTTTGAATATTTAGATTTTATAAATCCAGCTGCATGCTAGACCCTTAGTTTTATGTACCACCCTTAGCACCAAAGAGAGAAATCTAGATGGCTGCCATATTCACACTTTGTATTACATATGACTGTGGCATAAACAGGTCCGTTGGCAGGTATCCCTGGTTCATGCAATAGTTCATTTACCAGTTGTTTGGAAGGGGTAGGGGGACTCCTCAGTCTAATGGGTAAAGCATAAACTCAGAGTCTCCACCTGGTGCTTTACATGCTATTTTTAGTTTTGATATTAGAGCCACTTGCCAAATCCCTGTATATGAATCAATGGTTGAAATTATTTTAATGGTTTCAAATTGATCCAACAGACACTCTATTGTAGGCTTAGGCAGTATGCTGGATTTAGGTATAGAAATGAGTTCTTCATAACCTGCTCCACATTTAATAGTGCTTCTTTGCTTTTGGAACTAAGACTTGAAGGCTCGCTAACTCCTGGTCTCAACACTTTTTCAACTATGTGTCAGTGGCTTACACACCCTGTCTCAGGAGGTGAGGGATACATCATCGAGAGGTAGCCCTCTACCTTACGAGCCACAGACAATTTCTATTATGAAATTCCAGCCCCGCACACATGTATTGTTTGTGTCTATGTGTACATGTCTGTGTGTGATGTAATGTGGGGCATGTGTGTGTTTTCCCATAAGCATCTTACATATATTACAAAGGGACTCTTATGAATTCCAACATCTACAAGAGCCCTAAGTACCACATATTGGAATGTCAGATCCCTGGGATGAAAAGAAGCACTTACTTTATTAGGGTAGGGCGTGTGTGCCAGACATCTCTTAAAGACTGAACAAATCTCAGACCTGAGCCTCTACATTCCCCTGATGGTACCTGGACTCTGGAACAGTCTCAGGACATAAATGCCCTTCTGGATCTTGGATGAGCAGTGTGTGAACTGCTCTGTGGCATCCTATGTCTGTGTCCCAGCCCCTACCCCACTCCCAAACAGGACTATTAAAAGCTCACACCAACCACTGCCCATGCTCCAAGTCCTTTAGCCTACCCTCGCTTTTATTGTTCAGCACAACTCACGGACAAAGCACGATCCTCCTTCCTGTCAGTTTCTTAATAGAGATGTCTAGTTTCCTCTCACCCTGCATCTACCTCAAAGTCTGCCCACCACCCTACCCTCCAAGGTGACAAGCTAGCTCTAGTCCAGATCTACAACTTCAGAGTCTCCAGGAAGGCATGCTCTCCTGTACCGTTTAGGTTCTCTAAGAACCATCCATTAAATCCTCTAATAGTTTCTCACTTCAAGTCTGAATTCCTTTCGGTAGCACTGTGTAGAGCAATATTTCAAAACCATGCTCTCCCAAGGCCCCCTACAGATCACTGAGGTCACTGTCTAAGCATCTAAGAGGGAGATGCAGTTCCCAGGGCCAGGAGGCTCCCATGAACCCTGCTTAAGGTGTGGAGCGTGTCCACTGTCATGGGCCATGCCCCACCCGTTCAATTGAGCTGGCCAAACATTCCCTCTTGTTTTGAAGTCCTTCATCCCGGGGCAGAAAATGGCTCATGGCTCAAGAGACCAATTATGCTGAAGATCCTTGAAAACTGGTAAGGGCTCCTACCCCGCTGGAGAATGTGTGACTCTAACATGCACAAGTCCTGTGGGTCTCATATTCACACAGAAATTGCTCACATCAGCCTCTAGGACCACAGAGGAGCCTGTGCCACATGCTTCCTTCAGCTGCACCAGGGAGAGATGACCTAACTCCCCTAATTCCAAACTAATATGAGTTATCCACCCTTCCACTTTGCAAATTCATTCCTTCGTTCGTTCGTTCGTTCCTTCCTTCATTCTTCACTGAATGTTTACTCTGGGCGATGCGCTGTGCTGGATATAAAGTAGGGAATGCATCATGTAAACAAGCTGATGAAAATTAAGTAAACAAACAATGAAACCTACATACTATAAATTATGGTGATCCCATTATTATCATACCAGATAACAGACAGGGCTACCTTAGCCAGGGCTCTTTCCCTTGGGCTCCACTGTGCTCCCTTCTCCTTATGGGCCTACCTCACAAAGAAGAACCTCCCTGCAGTCTTACCTGAGGCCCTCGCTGCTATTGCCAAGGGGACAGATAGAGAACAACTCATCTCCAGGCCTACGAAAGCAAGACCTCTGCATTATTATCATCAGGGAACCAGAAACATCTTGGATTGGAGTGAATTTGAAACCATTTTTCTTATAACCCTCAGGATGCCCTTATAGCCATATCCCCCAAGTCCTGACCCAGGACTCAATTTCAATCCACTGCCACTTTATAATCCAGGACAAAGATAGTGTGGGACATCTCCAGTTGCTCAACTGAAGCCATCTCAATTGCTACCCACATACTTGACCATTTAAACTGTGGATCTAACTTCCAAACTGTGGAAGGAGTTTGACTGGGGGTATTAATCATTAATTTCTTCAGCAGATAAATGAACATTCACTGGTCATCCACCAACCTAGAGACTAGGCCCCAGTAGACTCATCTATACCTTCTGGAAAAAGTAGAGGAACTGAGGAAGTTAGGAGAGGCACTGCAGAATCAGAGAAAGGAATGTCAACTTTGATATCACTGTAAGCTTTTGATATCTCAGAAAGTATTGTGGAACGGACAGTGGTTTTGAAAAATAAATGTAAATGGTAAGTTTTGAAAAATAAGATAGAAAGCAGCTTAGAGATGCGAAGACCGTAGACTGGGAATGTCTCTGGGCTACACCTGAAAGAGATAAAGAATG